AGTAACTCCTAGGTGGATCCGAGATCTTTTACCTGAAATGATCCGAGATCTTCAAGAAAAGTCCCTCACGAAGCGATGAATCCCAACAGGCGACGCAACAACAAGTTGTCACCAACTCATCCACTGCTGCAGGTGGAGTGCATCACCCCACCGCCATTGGTAACAAGCCACCCGCAGGTGTCATGCCCGAGCCACTCATGGGGAACACACGTGAACTCTGGCTGTACCTGCTCACCGGGCTACAGCGGACAGGCGCGAAATTGGCGGGAGATGGGCTTGGCAGGAGATGGTCAGCAGGACTTCATGCGTTTTTTCCCCATCCTCCAGGACCAATGGTTGTCAGCTTCCCAGTCATGAAAGTGGCAAGTTAAATTTGAGAGTCCCAGTTTGGGGGGGGGAGGTTGGGAGTCCCAATCCCTAGGGCTCCTGTCCCACCTCCGTTTCGAAGGTGGTTGGGGTGGGTGCCAGGGGGGGTCTAACCACTTTTTGAGGGTATGGTTGGAGCCCTAGGGCCCTAGGGAATATTGAGCTTAGTTTGGGGATGCTTTGGGTAGAACAATGTCTTCTGGAGAAGGGCCAGTCGTTCTTGATGGGTCACCGCGTTCTTGGTGAACGGCACTCAGCAAGGCCCGAGCAAGGACCTCCTGATGTCTCAGAGACATATGGTAACAAGTCACGTGGATTTGTTTATTTGTTTTTGTTCCTCCAGATGTACTAGTAGATGTCCAACTACACGTTTTGACATTCTTTGGCAAACAACTCATGTGCCAGCACCTTCCAACAGGTCTCCGTTGGAGGGTTGTTAGGCCCTAACAGGTTTCAATTGGTGACCTGTTGGAGGTGCTGATATTCTTTTACATTCTGGTGTCTAGCAGTCTAGCATTTACATCTGAATCATGAGTGCCTGTGGCGACTGACTTGCGTCGCGCCTTCCCACTCCTTCCACGTGACGGTCGCGGTCGCTATCGGAGGTCCGTGCTACGTTGACGGCACCCTTCTATGAGATTCTTGGTGGCCAGTGGGAGTGACACATGGAACATCGGACTCCCCAATGATTTTTTCTCGTGTGAGTGGGTGGCGTTTTGGGTGGTTGTTACTTAGATTTGAGCTGGAAAAGGATGATCAAACATAATAGAGCTCTTGATTTACTGGTGTTGACATTTGTTGACCAGGCTCTCCCCAAAATATGAACTTTAAGGGCTTTTACATGATTTTAAAGGACTTTTTGTAGTAATATATCAAGTGCTTGGGTAGTAAGCCCTGAGCCGTCGCCCTTCTTGGGGGATGAAGGAAGATGCAGAAATTGGGCTCGCTTGCTATTGAACGTATAAGTGGGAAGGATGGTGAGCCAGAGCAATAACACCTGTCTTTTTTGGTGTGTGTGTGTGTGCGTGTTTTCTCTCAACAGTTAAACAACTGACACTGTTCTTGCGGTGAGGAATGACTGCCGGCCAGCGCCATGCCCACTGAACTCTAAAGGCGCGGGCGGGGAAGAGAAGGAGGGACCAGACTGCCGGTCAAGAAGGCGAGGATCAGGTGGCAAGATGCGTACTGAGGAAGATGCATCACCAGAAGGCACCTGAACAGTTGGATCATATCCATTCCTGCAAAGCCCTTGGACCAACCCGTTCAGCTTCAACCAAGAGGCAGGAAAGACACACACACACACACGAGGGCAGAGTCCTTACCATAAGGTTCTTGTGCTGCAACGTGATCCTCGCCCATGGTGGGGTTTCCGATGGTGACGGCCATGTCCTCGACTGAATTTACCTCCCAACAGCCGCTGTGCCATGTGGTATCCAATACCGTACCTACCCAGTCAGTCAGTGGATGAACTTAAAACCCTTTGAGATTGGGCGCGCCCCACTGAAAATGAACAGGTGGGGACAGATTAAACCCTTTCATGTAGACTCTTGATTCATAATCCGATCCATATGAAGAGGATTTCCACTTGAAAGTGGGGGTTGTTTTTAATAGTTAAGTTAAACCCTTTATCTTCCAAGGATCGACTTGGCGGAGTGAGTCTCAGACTGGGTCCCCCATGATCCGATGCACCAAACTGGGGATGCCCAAGCGCATGCAGAAGCCTCATGGAAAGCAGCTGGAACCGTGGGCGAAATTGATTTCGGATCAGAAGTCATAAGATCGGTCCTTCCAAATCCCGGCCATTGTAGACAACCAGCTGAGCAAGATCGTGACTATTTCCTGCTCCAATGCTTAGCAGATACCCGTTTACATTTGTTCGCCTCTTTGGTTCACGCAGGAGACGGCGTTCCTTCGGGCTGTAGCTGCACCGCGGGACATGCAGGCGGACTGGTGGTTTGTACTGTCAAGAGAAAACAAGGCTCACTGCAATCAACGAGAAAGCTGGGTAGTCTTTTGTCATAGAGGCTTTTAAGGGCCTTTATTGTCTCCTTTCAGACACTTGGAAGCATAGTTAGTTACTGTAATAAACTATAAACATGCTGAGTTTTTGAAATACAAGTTCTTTGCTAAGGGTGTCCACATGCTCCCCCATGTTCAATGGGCGTTGCCACATGTGCGTGATTGAACGGTCCATTTTTAGATATGTTTGGTGGGATCCGAAAATGAGCAGATGGACCAACTAAAAACTGTCCAAACACCTCTACAACAACCCCCTCCACCCCCGTTGCTCATGTTTGGCCGGTCCAGAAATCCACGACCGACCATTGCCTGCCACCAGGCCGCATTTTGCCGTCGGCCTCCCCGCCCTACTTCCTCGGCAGTTGCCAAGATGTGCCCTGCCCCGCAGACGCCTGGCAGATCTGGGGGCTGAATCGAAGGATCAGAGGAAGGATCCACCTAGGAGTTACTGTAAGTGGATCAGGTGGATAAGCAGGTCACCTTTTTGGGAGGGATTCAATCGGCTTTTTTCCTGTCTCTTTTGCATCCAGCCGACCAAGGCGTCGATGAGACTCGTGCATGACAGGTGGAACAAAGTTAAACAAAAAGGTTACTAAACGGTTACTATTTCACCTGTAGATGGCACAACCCCCAAGATGTCCTTTAGATTCTAGATGGGAATCCATATAAACCACCTTTTGGTGATTGTGCCATCTACTTTCAATCCACTGTTTTTTTTATCGTTCCAAGCGTCCCTTCTTGTCTTCAGCTGATGGACATTGATTGGGGACGTCCACTCCACTGTTTCCTGCCAAAAGCTCGGTGCCCCAAACACCGGTTCTCCACTCCGACCCCAACCCGACAGTTCCGGTGATGCCTGGGTCCGGTCCGCTGCGGTTCGGGTGGTGCGGACGTCACCGGTCCGCGGGCTTCGTCACCCTGGTTTGGGCGGGATTCACCCCTTGGTCCCGGCAAACCACGCGGTGAAGCTAAGCAAATCCAAGAGATTCCAACACAGATCGCTTCAACAACTGTCCAAGACCCTCTTGGCTTTACATGGTCTCTAGGTTACGGAGGGTTAGTTAGTGGTTCAAAATCACTTGGAACTTCCCGTGTCCGCTGGACGTTTAGGACCCCAAGCGTCGTGAGTTTCACAATTGGAGAGCGGGCCTACATCTATCGGTGACATGTGGTGACACCGTTACAGTCTTTCATGGTGAAGAAGGCTCGATTAAGCTCACACAGCTTGGAGAATAGATGAACGAACGCGCCTTTTTTCAGCCCCAAAAGCAAGAGAACCTCCGTCCAACGTCCGACCGTCCGCCGTCCTCAAGGACTCCAAGGGCGAAGGCGTGGCGGCTGGCTGTCGCTGCAATGCTGGCTTCAGTGGGCAGATCCAGGCGGGTGATCCGACGGGCCGGACGGTGCAACGCTGACAACCCGTGGGTAGTCCGGGTTGGGGATTGCCAGCGTGCCACGTGGGGAGGGGTGGTTTCAGAGTGACCCCAAGTTTGGAGGTTGACCCCAACCAGGGACGTGGGTGGGCCTCTTGATCTGTTCTGACCCAAGGGGGGGTCCTGGAACTATAATATTACAATCACTGGGCGTGTACATAACTTTCTACATGACTACATGACACCCCACATAAAGAGATCTTGTGGTGCCACCATCGAAGCTCTGAAACCACTCAGTGAGGAGCTGTTGATGCGTGGTTAACAATGCGGTGTCGATGTCTCGGACAGGGAAGCTTGATGAGATGTTTAGATCTTGATGATGCCCAACCATATCCTCAGGGCTCCTGTCCCATATCCTCAGGTTCAGTGGTATTCGACCCTACCCCTGGCCCACCTTCGAAACGGAGGTGGGACAGGAGCCCTAGGGGATTAATGCTAGCTTCAGTGAGGACAGTTGACAGCTTGGTGGGAGAGGAGCAGGAAAGCTTGTGTATGTTTGTATGCTATTCGGGCATATGAAGGGCAATTTGGCATAGTCGCCTAGACGTTTGCTTGCTCCACGTTTCCCTGCCGTTGGTCGGAGGTTGTCCATGTGTCACCGCCGTTGGCACCCCAACGTTGGCACCTTCCCGCACACCGACGTATGCACCCGTGGTCAACCTGGGATTGTCAAGAGATTAAGTGACCCTGAAAAAGGATCCGTAACCTGACGTACATATTATGGGATAGTCTATAGGGTTCTTCAAGGTCTGTTGGTGGGATTCGGGATGTTTGATGTTCTGCGGCTTTGCCACGTGTTGGATCCTCGCATTAGAGGCTGTAAAAAGGCGTGTGGGGCGGCGTTGCCACATGTGCCACACTTGCTTGGGACGGTGAGGTCGCACGCGTCGTGGTTCAAGCTACTTGGGTGAGGTGGGTGATGAACCACGAGAACTCCACGCATTATCATCTCCATCCGATCAACATCCCAAGCAAGCCTGCACCCACCTATAGAGCAGCCCCTGGGGATGAGAACGGAATCAGCACCTGCCAGCTGCCAGCCTATTGCTAGCAATGTCCGGCAATTGATGCACAACTTCATAGCACCCTGCAGCTCCTAGGAGAGGTTGCAACACCCACCCTTTGCAAGTTGCAGGATCTAATACCTACTCTTTCCCATCAGACATCATCCAACAGCCATCCCCCTCCCCCCTGCTTTGCCACCACCGGTGTCCTGGTGCGGCGCCTCATGGCTTTCTCCCAGTGCTGCAGCCGCGGCCACGTGACGTGGCATGGGAACTTGCCAGGGCTGTGGCGATCGAGCCGCTGCGCCGGAGCCGACGGGAGGTGGCTCGAACCGCACCCCGGGAACTGGGTGATGCAGTTGCTTCATGAAAGGGACCGATGGGATTCAGGGATCAGTTGGGGGGCCAGTTGGGGGCATCAACCAAAAGAACTGGAAGACCCCGGATGTGTGCTTCTTCTGAAAGGATGTTTGAATCAAGCATTTTATTTATGGTGTTTGGCGGGGTGCATTCTGATTGGTGAGCATGCATACTGGTTTCCTGGTGAAAGGGAGTTCTGATGAGCTTCCAAGTAGTAAAGGCCACTTGGACACCTGTGTTGAACTCAACCCGGCTTGCTGGGTTGCTCCTGGCTGGAGAGACGCATCAAAGAATCGCAACCAAGCAGCATGGCTTGCATGATCAGAAACTTATTATAGTACTCAATATAACCGTATAGATAGATGTATTAGATACATAATTACAATTGGTCTACGACTACGATGTAGAAGTAAGTGACGTGTACCCTCATGACCTTTCCCCTCCCAAGCTCTGCCCTCCGGTCCGCCAGGCCACTCACCCAACGGCGATGACCTGGCGATGCCTGTCTTCGGCGATGACGCGCAGGAGGGTGACCGAGGGTGACCGAGGGTGAGGCCATCAACCCCGTACCTTTACACTCCCTGGAGTTGACCTGAAAGTCATGGAAGTCATTGGACTGACGTGACGTGGATGGCATGGCCCCTTGAAAGACCATGAAATCCAAAGACCAAGCAGGGGGCTTTTCTACTTCCAATGTGAGATCTAGGGGGAGGTAACCCCCAGGTAATTTTTTTAGACAATAAGGTGCCCTCATGGGACACCCCAATCCAAACCGATCGATCAAACCGATGGAGCTGTTTCTGGCCCCCAGGCCCGAAGAGAGAGAGAGCGGTGTTCGGTCCACGACCCTCGCGCGCGGGGTCGCAGGGGGTGGTCCAAGACCCCGCTGTAGACGATCCCATGGACCGTGATCCCATGGAGCGCAGTGGGTTTTCAGGGCCCATGATGGAGGAGCGTGGCCCATGACCACCCAGATCTGAAGAAGGGGGGGTGGTGAATGAAGCCGCTGGGGTGGTGGAAGTGACACGCCAGGTGTGGGTGTCCTGGTACTGTAGATCTACGGGCAGCTTTTGCTCTTTGAGATTCATGTTCAACATGATCACCAGCTTATAGAGATGACAAACGTAGATAGGGGTTTGATCATGCCCCCCCAATCCCCCTCCTTGGAGCTATACTGTATGGTACGTGATGGGGGAGAGGGCCCCAATCGGTCGGCACTTGAAGAAGGCTAGTCGATGACGGTCTTTCGTGTGTTTGAATGCTTCTGAATGCCGTCCTATTTCTTGAATAGGATTATATATATAGATCTAAAAGTTGCTTGCAGTTTTTGTCCGTTAAACCTGTCACCGAAGCCAAGATACTCTACCTGTCTCCCCACCTCCACCTCCCATGTCACCACCGCCACCTCCACCCACCGACCTACTCTCCGTCCCACCTACATCCCCCACGTGGAGCCCGCCCCACCGGGGCCCCCCCTTTGCTCCTTCGGCCCGTGGCAGCTGCAGGACGGCGGCTTCTCCATGCCACCGATGATCCCCAGTCGTTCGCATCACGATCTGTCGCCCAGAGACTGCACACCCCGAAGCCGAGCGTCCAAGACGCCTAAGACGCCTAAGACGCCCAAGACGCCCAAGACGCCGACGAAGACGCCGCGGAGTGTGCACACGGAACATGTGACCTGGGAAGAATTGATGGCTTGAAGCAAAATCGTTCCATTTCTATAACATTGTCTACTGTTTTGCAGATGATAGTGGATGTTTGGTGTGAGTGAAGCTGGAAGCGCTTGACTCAGGAGACCGATTTGTCGAAAAGATAGGTTATTAAATGTCAGTTGCGCAACATCAATCAACATATTCCAACCTTGGGCAACTTCAGGTGAGGATCCCAGACAACTTCTTGGTCTTGACCATTCCCCAAAAGAGCCTGATGAGGAGCAGCCACCAATAGCCACCTGAGGTGAACTTAGAAGATCTCGATGAGGAGGACGAGGATGATGATGATGATGATGCAGATCTGGACGCGCTAGAATCTTGGCATGACTAGCAGACGTTGAAGAACCCTATAGACTATCCTATAAGTACACCTGGTTATAAGGGTCCTATTGACGGTCACTATTTGGTTTAGGTGTTCATGGTTCTTTCGTTGTCTCCAGATGTCGATCAGGTCTCCAGATGTCGATCGATCCCACGCGTCGGTCAGGAGTTGAGATGCGTCGTCATGGAGGCCCACTTTGACTTTTATGATCCGATCTCCAAGAAGGGACAGGTGCCGAGAAGGGACAGGTGTGTTCTCAAGATGGTTCGACAAAAAGATGGGTCCACACCACGAGGATCCGAATGTCGCCATAAGTCGCCATCAAAGGGATATAAGGGATCATCTACGTAGACGCACTACTCAAGGGGTGAAGGGACCAGAAGAAGCTGCTGGAGGGTTGTCTATAGACATGCGGTTGGTTGGGTCATGTCAGACAGGCCTCTTTTGCAGCGTCGATGGCCAGGTGATGCCTTTGATCGAAGAGGTCAAGCACCATCGCCCCATCAAGAGACCCGGCGGCGTCTCGACTCCCGCCAGTTCCTCCGGGACGCCCTCCGACGCCGAGGGCCACCCCATGGAGGCGGTGACGCCGAAGCTGCTTGGCGCCAGTGCTTGGCATCTCCTTCTAGTCCGGTCAGTGGTGAAGAAGCATATTGAACAAAAAAACAGGTGGGGTGGGGGTCAATGTAGGTATGTGTTCCATACATGGAGTGTTTGGGTAGTCTTTCGCGGGTGTGTTTTGAGCTTGGGGAACATGTTTTCCTTCTACCAGTGATGGACACATCTGAAGCGACGTCCATCCATCATTGGGTTGTTGCAATTAGAGAAGGTGGAGGCCAATTGCCCAATTTTCAGACCCAGGAAGGCTAGCGTCAGTATCAAAAGGTGTGAATAGTATCGAGATTGGATGGATTTAGTTTGTCTAATCTGGCGCAATGGTCGGGGTTTGACACGGTTTGAAAGAAAGGGTGAGCAAGAATTGACATCATCCAACACCAGTTCACTTGAAATGACCCCTTCCCCTCACGAAGGCCTTTGGCATGGCCTTGGATATGATTTCCTTGCAGAATTGTAAAGCAAGCTTAAATCGGACCAGTAAACCCTGCCCAGACTAGCTGGAGCCGGGGAAAAACCAACTAAAACAAACACATACAAAAACAACTGTTCAAGGAGTCCACTCCATCAGGAAGCCATAGTTTTCAAACAACTCCAACCCTATGGGTTTGTGGATTTTCCCTTGTTCTCGGATTCTCAGAGGGGTTTTCCTCCTTCCGCGATAGGCGATAGGGCACCACCTCCAAACCAAGGACTCGGGCCCAGCGCGAGATCGAGATCATCACGCGCTGGGGCGTCATCTCAGGGAAGTTGATCTTCTCACGAGCCCTGTGGCTGCAGAGGGAGTTCGGGGGCCGCGGTCTTGGGATGTTTGATGATTTTTGGTGTGAGAACGCGATGATGCTGGATGTGGCAGTGGCAGAAACAAAGGTGGTTGTGGTTCAACAGCAGGAGACCGACCGGTTGACCTACCTGGAACCTCAAGCTACATTGTGTTGGCTCCTCAAACACAGATACATTGTTGATCATTGTTGTATATATACTTATAATAATTTTGTACAGTAATTTTGTATATATGCACCATTGTGGGGTTCGTGTTGATCACCAAATGGGCTTTGCTGCCAGATTGCACCTCAGTTTAGTGTTGGGTTCACCCAGCTGTTGTCTTCGCAACCTCCTATACTTCATCATACTTCCATTTTCCTTAAAAGCTTAATGTTATATCACTCGACTCCACGCGATTTCTCCTTACCAGGGTGGCGGGCAGGCACTCCGTTAAGGTCTCAATCAGGTCGATGGTCCAGGTCGGGAGAGACTCGACGATGGGAGAGACGGTGACCGCATGTGACCGCCACGCACTTTCCGTGACCATGCAAGATCTGGCTGCCAGGTGCTCACGCTGACGACGATGAGCAGCATGTATGTGGTTCGCGCACAACAAGCTAAGTTTGAGAAGAGCCTCACTTGCAAGACCTGGATGTGGATGTGGATTTGTTTGGGGAGTGGAAGTGCTGTTCCCACGCCCTTTTGTTTTCAAAACATGGAGAGACGACCGCACCAAAAAGAGACGTTTCAAGTGATTTTGAACAATGGTCAGATTCTCAGGGGGCTCCTATCCAAGATGTCCAGAACACTAGTCCAATATAGTACTATATGTACTGACTGGTGGCAGTCAATTGTCAATCGTCTTCAGGTTGTTGCTTCTGAAAATAACATACTGACTGGTGGCACGGCCAGTGGACCTTAAGCGTGATATATACATATATTGATGTATATATATAATATATACTTGGTACCCGGGACCCATGGCCTGGATGGCACGGCCAGCCAAGCAGCTTGGTGCAAACAAAGATTTCCCTTCATGCAGCATTCATGCAAGACAAGCGCTGGCACCTCCAAAGATCACTTTTTGCAATTGTTCACCCCATACATTTGCATATGTGCGCAGCTGAAAACTGGACAACTGGGAGAAAAGCTCGTGTTCTGCCCTCAACGAACGGCGCAAATAATGCATTTTCTCATGGTTTCTCGGTGTTGTAGCTTTGTTGAGCCCATCGTCCTCCCCAACCGTTCAGGAGCTCACGGGTGTGGACGCGGATCGAAGCCCGCGCACGGCGCGTGGTGAACCAAGCAGCCTTGTTGACCAAGAAGGTCATGCATGAGAAGGGCGATCTCTACCATGCAGAAGCTGGGAAGGCTGATGAATTGGGTGGGATGGTGATTCTGAAGGCATGCGATTGCCGAAAGAAGCACAGGCAGGAGGTTTTCAGAGAAAACCTATTACTATACTTACTAACATCATGCTACCGGGGGTGGGACCACAGTAGGATACGGTAGGAGCACCGAAGGCAAGCTGCAAGCCAGCTTGGAACCCGAACATCTCCAGAGCGTGACGGACGACGGACGCTCCATGCCAATCCGAGGACTGGCGCTTGCAAGGTGGAGCTTTACAGGAGCTCTTTACCGTGGAATACATCGACACCTTGATGATCCTGGCCAAGGTTCAACCCAGCCGGCTCGGTGGAGAACTGAGAATGACGCGTGGAGACGGCAGGCTGAACGACCTGTGTCAGAACGCGATGTCCTGGCAGACCGGAAAGGGCTGTGGTTCCCTATACTGGTTCGTTGCAATCAAACAGCCATGAAGCATCATGAAATGTCAATATGAAGATATTGCCAATGACATCCCCATCCCAGTGGGAAAAACACCATCCCGGACACTCTTCTAAACAACTCGTGGAGAGTTGCTTTGGGGTCAACTGTGAGTTGGACTTGACTTGACCAGCGTGAGTTGATCAAACTTGGAAGGCATATGAAGGCATTACCCTTGCAGTTTGAGGCCCAGAAGTGATATGCGTTCGTTTTCTGAAAAAATTGTCTCCATTGGCCGGATCGCGAATTAACAACTTCTACAGAAAAGCCGGTGACTCAGGTGGGTCTTGAGTTGTGTCCAAGATCACCACCTGTTTGCACGGCCACCTCATCACAGGCCTTTTAGCACAAAAAAAACGGCATCTGCAGGCGAGCGCGAAGCTCTTGGCACTGCAGCCCGTAGTGGGCCAGGCCCATGTGCCTTGCATCTTGGCACCAGGATCCATACCCATACACGACTCATGGGACTGGCATACTTACCATGGAGTGTGTGGGATCGGGTCATGGAGAGCAGCCGCTTCGTGAAAGCAAAATCGTACTCACACCGTGTGTTGCAATATTTGATATATGGTGACCAGTGACCACGTGTGAGATGGAATCAACAACACCTGCCACCAAAACATGCGAAGAAAGACCGAGGCTTACTACGCCGCCCCCATCGGCTGTATATTGCGGAGGGGCAAGTCAAGTTTATGATTGTATTTATTGAATAGCATTATCATTGCATGACACATCATGACACTATTGTTTTTATAACATACTGAAACATATGCGTTCTATTGACAGTATATATAGTTAATTATTGCATGGTTTTGGAGGCCTGGATTATTTTCGGGTTTATAATTGACTCGTGGTTTACTGTTGTGATGTGAACGTTACCCCATTTCATGCATGACATCTCTAGGTCGACCCTTTGCTCGCGCTTCCTTACCGGCAACGCCGGACCGAGGCCGGATCTTTGGAGATTTGCATGGGCAGTTTCGCGACCTGCTGTTGCTCTTCGGGGCCTTCGGCTTTCCCGGGAGCAAGGAGAGTTCGGCCGGGCGTTCCGTTCGGAGGGTGATGCGGACGGTGAAGCCTTTTTGGTTGGGGGGGGAGGACATGCGGGCCGTGCTGCCAGCATGCTGAGGATGCTGGGTGAGCCAATAGGGGAACATGTTTGGACATCGGAAAGGGGTTGTCATAGAAAGCTGGAGTTTCCATAAGTTACTCTTTCAAACCTTGTTCTGGCTCACGAACGTGTGCTTTTTTCCCTTCATCCGTGTTGGCACGGTAGAGTATGAGATCCGATGGGGTAGATCGTTGACATGATGGGGCCACTGGGGCAGATCATGTCCGTCCATTTCACTACATCGGAATTGTGATGGGTGGGTTATTGGGTTATGGGTGTGCGTTCCTTTCCTTTCCTTGATTTGTGTTTTCGGGTGCTTTCCTTTGCCGGACTCCTGAGAGCGCCTGAAGAGAGATTCTCCTCCGCTTGATTTGGAGAATAGGACGGTCTGCTGTGAATGTGGTTGTTTCCTGGTTTCCTTGATGATCTCGATGGGGCTTGCCAGAGCCTTTATCTAAAAGGTGTTTGCCTTCTGTTTCTGTGCAACCAAGCGGCCAAGCGCAGAATCAGACGAGACCTCATCCAGTTGGATCCACCACTGGTGTTCACGTCGCCTCGGCCTCTCCATCTGGTGTAGACCACGTAAAGCCTCCGAGCACTTCCCAGACCTGGGTGGTGGTCCCTTTGATCTCATGGCACCTGACCACGCCGTCGACTTACAATGTGACTTCCAGGTCGGCATCAGTGCCCCTCGTGCCCTGAGCAGCATGTGTCACACGAGCACCCACGCAGACCCACGCAGACCCACGCGGCCTTGAACCGCTTGGGACTCGGAAGGAGGACTCAGAGGAGCAGGAAGTGTCCTACGTGTTCAATGGCGACTTTGTTGAGACTTGGATGAGCCCCACACAGGCAATCCATGGATGGAATAGCCTACATTGGGGGTTGTTTAAGATGTTGAAGGGTCAATGTAATTATATAAATATTCCACACATGGATTGCTGAAGTCAAGTTTTATTCCTGTGGATTATTCGTTTCGAGAAGCCTCGGAGATCGACATTGGGCGGGACATGGGCATGAGTTTTCCTGTGATTTTGTTTGTATCAGGATCTGCAATTTTCGGGTGGCAGTAGAATGTAGTAGATGGTTTCCACAGTGGTCCAGGCATCACAAAGGGAACCATGCGCTGGCACCATCAGGATACGTACTGACTTACAACCTCACGTTGGGCTACCGTAACTCCACTCCAAAGCCGGATCGAATGGCTGTTTCTGCAACCCATCACCCACCATCATGCCACCATCCACACGGACTTGTGCTGTGAGCGAGGGAGCACATAGCTCGGCTCCCAGCTGCTGCTCCACCGACTGGCTCCAGGATCGGGGTGCTCACAGCTTAGAAGTCATTGGCCTCCTTTTGGCCTTGAAAGTCTACATGCCCAATCGCGTGTGGCTGGTGCGGGGAAACCATGAGGATCGCTCCATGAACGCGCGCGACCCGGCGAGAATGTGCTCGGTTCTGGAGTGAGAAAAGGCCTAAGAATAGGAATTTTAATACCTAAACATTGTTTGCGGGAATGTCGCGAAATGGTTTTTTTTCCTTGAGGGTTTGTTTGTTTTTTGTCAATATGTTGTTCTTTTGGGGGGGGGAACCTTCGGCACCTGGAATGGTCGAAACGTGACGAGACGGTCGAGACGGAGCTGTCGAATGTGCGAGACGTGACATGTTTGGCCCTGGCAAAGTACCTGAACTATGCGGTTTGTAATTTAGCAGTGGCCGATGCGTGTTATTCATGGTGTTAGGTTTCTATATGTTCCTTGGGTGTTTCATTCATGTCCTCAGTGAAATCAAAATAGACCAGACTGGATAGAGCCTACCTGAAACAAGAAACTCCAGAACTCCAAACTTGTGTGTTTTCCATGTTGTGCGACGAAGGTTGTTTTCGATGATGAGTTCCCACCAAAGTCCTTTGTTTGCAGCAGCCAGACCACCTGTTCAAGGCAGGAAGAACAAACACATGTTTGGACTGCTCAGCTCCTTCAAAGTGACCTTTTGAGGTTTGAGTATCCCTGTGTCAACATGACAGACATCAAACTGTGACATCAAAGGGTCAAGAACCAGGTGACGAGCATGTGCACGTACCCGGCGACCAAGGTCTTTGTGAAACCTTCATGTGCCAATAGATGCTGGGGCATTGGTTCCCCATGGTTCCCCAATCAGTTTTCCACCTAGGCTACGGCTTCCTGGACGAGTGTCAAGACCGCCTGGGAAACAACTTTGGTCGCAAGACCTACGACGCTTGGCACGAAGCAACTGAAGTGACGGGGGTCCAAGAACCGACCGTCGCCTCGAAGAGGTGTTCAGGTGTGTTGGGACATGGATCATCTTGGATCTTCAAACGGCACACATTTTTGACGGCGCTTTTCAGTGAAAAGACGCAATTATAATCAAAAAGACATGCTGTTTCAGGGGTTGCAACCATGTGCTCAAAATCATTAAACATCGATGGTAAAGATGCCTTTGGACACCTAAATTAAAGACACCGTTTCTTCTTGAGATCTCACCGAATCTCACAACATTTGCCGGTTTCCGCCTTGTCACAGCCAAAAAATGAACAAACACCACACCACCTTTGGAAAAGACTCCTGAAAAGGCAAGTACTTGTGCCGTTTTGAAGATCCAGGAATGCGTGCAGCGAGGAGATCCCAATCCAAAACAAAAAATAACACGTCCGATGGCAGCTGGCAGCCCTTCTCGACACAAGACAGAAACACTCGCCCTTCTGTTCGTTTCGGGACCGCCTCCAGGATTTGATGCAAACCGCCTTCGACCAACTGCCCTTGGCCTGCGTGGTCGGAGGGCACATTTTATGCGTCCATGGCGGCGTGGGTGATGGACGCTGGGACTTGAACGACCTCAGAGCTGTGCGACGACCCTTGGGGCAACAGGACGGACCTGGAAACAACGGTTTCCTCTTGGATCGAAAACCGGGAGAGACGTATTGGATCGAATTCGTGTGATTTTGCTCGGTGTCGCTGTCCATTTGGACGTTTTTGTTGCTTTATATGGCGTTCTTTTGACAGACTTATGACTTATGGGTATGTGAAAGATGACGAACACAAAAGAACCACCCTAGTAAGGTAACCACCCTGCTAGAAGGTTTCTCAATCCATCCTTGACATCAAAAGAAACGCAATGTTTCTGGGTTTCCTTGAAAACATGGACCATGCATTGCATCATTGTCCTGTCCCCCAAAGAATTTCTGTGGCCCTTGAACACTTTATGAGCATGTTCTATTTAGGAGATGGTGTGGCTAAACAAGAATTTATGGTTTTGTCCGCATAAGACGTACTGCAAAACTGCCGTGAAAAGGCAAGAAGCTAGGAAGATCTAGGAAGCAAGAACTATCCCGAAATAACATCACCCAATAACAACTCGGAGGTTACTGCCTAATTCAGGCCAGACACCAGCCCAAGAAATACAGCCAAATCAACACCAGGAGTGGTTTGATAACAAAATGAGCCCATCAAGTTCCCACTCAATAAACCGCGAGTGTTGTTTTCTCGACTTGGGATGCTCTACCGGGCCTGCCCTAAAGGATCCTAATAATGGGCTTAAACTTAACGTATCCACACAAAGTTTGGCTAGTCTCCTACAAGAGAGAGAGAGAGAGAGAGGGAGAGAACCACAGAAGCTTACAAGGACAGAAGCAATCAATCAAACAAACAAACGTAACAAGCCTATAAACCACCGCTTTAAAGAAGCACTTGACCCAGTACTTGACAGGAGTTGGGCTCTTCCAAGTTCCGCTGGGTGCACAACATCCTCTGGTCCGATCCCATCGAAGACGACCGCGCCCAGCGCGACGCCGAGCGCGACGCCCTGCGCGACGGCGGGGACCGGGGCCCCGTCTTCGGCGTGCACGCCTCGCCGCGGAACACCACGGCCGTGCTGTCGCTCGGAGACCACCGGCGGGGAGACGAAGGGGAGACCATGGTGCCGGGGGGGTGAGAAAGTGGAAGGAGCCTGCTGCAGGTGGGTTTAGTCGATCACATCATTGGAATTAACTAGTGGAATTTTCGAAGAAGTTGATCACATAACTGGAATTAGCCAGTCGCATTTGATGTAATTGCTATATTATACTGGCAAACCGACTGGAAAAGAGTGGGTGCTGCTCAACACTTAGCAGTTGCCAGCCTCATGTCACCGGGATTTGTGGAGGTGCCGGCGGAGGTGAGCGGCAGAAGGGGCTTTTTAGGTTTTTCTGCATCTTGAGGCCGAGGTACCAGGCAGGATGAAAACGCCAGCAAAACGGGAGAGCACGGAGCATCAACTAAAGGCTTTTAAGTTCTTTCTTCCGAACGCCGGGCCCCTATGATCCGAGAATATCGGATCTTGACAAAGGGAGTCGTTTGACAACGAAGCTCCAAGGCACAGTGCTGGATTGGATTGTTTTTTGGTTCTTCTATGTTCTTCTAATCCTTCTAGAGGAGAGTGCGTTGCACACTTTCTTGCTGGATTGGAGTGCTTGTTGTGCAGATGTGTGTATCCTTTGTTGTGCAGAATGTTTGTATCCATGGCCAAACCTGACCAGGTTTGGATGGGATGTGACCAAGATCCTTGGCGAGTTTGATGTGATTTTGCGCTTTAACATCCGTGTTTTGTTTGATGTTTATACTATACCCATGCAACAAGGAGCTTGTTTGACCTTGTTTGCTGTCGATGCTTTTGACGAGCTCAGCTCACTTCTGTGTTCTTTTGTTCGGGCGATCTTCGCCGATCAAACCTCGGACACCTGACGTGTTCCTTCGTCGGGCTGGTCAATCTGCAAGCCTTGACATGCCATGATGTCCGGGTTAAAAGCTTGTGTTACAGACACTGCACCCGTATACCGACCATGCGGTGACACTCCATTGCCACCCCCACACCCGTACCGACCGTGCTCGCAGAAGGACCTTTTGTGCTCGCAATGGGGTGGACATGGTGGTTCGTTCGCATCAGTCCAAGAAGAATGGCCTCGGATTCGACTTGATGCACGACGAATGCCTCATTCGTGCCTGGGTTTCCTCGGCGGAATTGCACCCTCTCAGTGGTTTCTGAAAAGGCAGCGGTGGCGGTGTCTCGAAGCCGTGGTTGGTAGCTGATAGCCAAGACAGACATGTACTTCAGGAGGTTGAGCACACGGAAACCTAGCCAGGAAGATTGAGGACACACTTTTTTTGCCCACACTTCAGCTGCTACACTCGGAGGTTGCTTCTTCCTGGCTGATCCCTTCTACCCAGCTTCTCTGGCCGCTTTTGTCCCTTCTATCACCTCTCAGGTGTTTTCTCCGCCCGGGACTACGAGGGCCACTGCAACGACGGCGCGGTGCTGCTGGTCCGTTCGGGCGAGGACGAGGGCCTCCAGGGACGGCCCTCTCTGTCCGTGCGAGCGCAAGTGGTGGGCTCCTATGGGAAGGCGGTACAACGATCCCAGGCGAAGTCCAAGGGTCCGGAGACCGGTGGGGCCCACCGGTGGCAGGGGTAAGGGGGGTAAGAGAGACATCTCCAAATGCGGGGCACGGCGGTCGAAACCCGTCTGGTCCATGCCAGTCGCCTTCGGAGCTTTTTGGGGGGGTGAGCCGGCAGCCCTTGGTCGAGCCCTTGTGGACTTTCGATCATGTTTTGATAGGGAGGTTGTTGGGATGGTGAGAGCATCCAGAAATCATATGACATCATGATGTTGGTAGAATTCTTGGTGTTAGGAAGTCTAGTGACACTATGCCTCTACTGTAGCAGCTGATTCGTCCCCAGGCTCATTTCTCATGCTGAATATGTCTATAAATCATTGTATGTTTCCCTGTGGGTCCAAAGGGCACTGGCAGCTGAAAAACATGTACAGAAAGCCAAGCAGCATGGTGGACATCATTGGCGAGTGAAAGGAAGCCTTCCACTACTCACAGCGTACTGGGATTCATATTGTATTATATCCTGCACAGTCCAGCACCAAAATCGAGTTTGCAAAACAGAAGCCAGAAGGTAATGGCAAAGCAGAACTGGTCGTGAATGCTGGGGTGGTTCACCATGGCTTTCATGCGGCACCGAATGCCCTGCCGAACGCGCAGACTCCCCAGGCAGACTGAGAGGCAAACTGTCCACACTCCGCTTCAGCCGCTTCAGCCAGCATAAATGCGTGGTGTCCGCATGCATGCCAAAGACCAGTTTTCTTTTATTGATCACTCCCAAGAAGTTTGGGGGTCTCCCAGAATGCTGCGGGGGTTGAATCAACGAGGAGTTTCTGTTTGGGGGGGGGGAACACGAGCGCACAAGCGGGAAGGTATCCATTTCGGACCCACAAGTGGTCCAGCCTAGGCCTAAGCAGCTTTTCGGACCCGTGTAGCCGACCCAGCCGGGGTCCAGACTCTCTCAGACCCGACTTCAATAATATTGGACAATATGCATCACCGTGCTTGCCAAAGCAGAATTCATTGGCCGTGCCAACTGAAATCAAACATCAGAGAATGCACTAGAACAATGGCCATATTCTCGTTCGCAGCTCCAAGCAAGTCTCCAAGCTATATGTTTGAGGAGTTTGGATGTTGAACTGCTAATCCAGCGTCGCGATTTGTTCCCGGACTCCTGGATGGACCGAAAACTCGATGAGTTTCACACCGGCCGTCATGGCCAGGGCGCCTTGGACCCACCGGCAGCCGAGGGGAAGAATCATAGGAAGAAGAACCCACGAAAAGCAGTAGGTGAAATTCCGCTGGTTCTGGTCATGAGTGGAGGGGCCATGGGTGTGGAAAACGCCAATGTTGATGGTATTTTGTAAGGAAAGTGGCCGCCATCAGGTCTCGATTGGAGTTTTCTACACCTGAAACGAACTGGCCGGCCCAATACTCACTTGGCCGGACCAAATCCAAGCAGTGGCCTCCCGTTGCAAGCGACGCTCCGCTTGCGGAGAGCGGAGAGGGGGCGAGCCGTGTTTTGGAAGGAATTGGCAGTGCTTCATGCGAGTTCCCGACCTGTGACTATTTGATACTATTTGTTTCTTGAATCTGTGAGCACGTTCAATGTTTGCTAGAGTCACCACTTGAATTGAGGCACCCTTGAAGGTGCCTGTAAGTCTTGGCATCATTCCTTCCTTCCACGAAAAGTTGATTGCTTCAAGCAAGCAGAAATGTTTCGTAAGTTGCTTTTTGGACTTGCTTTTGGAACCTGGGGTCCCCACGGCTTGCTTTGGAAGCTGAATCCCAATGTTCAACGCTTTTTGTGGGATTTGTTTAAGTTGAACTTCATCATCTCAGGATCCATGTGTCCTCACAGCTCGCTCCCTGTGTTTCGCCTGGTGCTCGGTAGACGAGCCTTTTCTCTGAGGAAGACCCTACGAAGGACCAATTCATTCCGGGCTCGAAGGTTTCCCCCGGTGACTAGAGGCGATGGACATGGCAGCTCGCTCGACATGGCGACATCGGTGGCACTGGGACGCCCTGTGGAGGAAAAGAAAGAATGAACAGAATGCCTGGGAGGTCAACCAAATGATCCTGGTTGGGTGCCATGACCCACCACACCGGGCTGCCGACCCATGTGTTTCAGAGAAAGCACGTACCGTGGAGGTCGGCCGTTGGTCACTGGGGAGTGTGCCTTAGCCCTGTGGAATTTTTAATGACCTGCTGCCATGCGAATCAACGCAATGCAAAAAGAAGCCGGGCGCTTGGACACTTAGTACAATCAGGTGCCCTGCGTTGCGCAGGGTGAAATGATGCATTGATGGAGGGCCTAGTTGTGGCCAGCACGGTCAAGTCCAGTTTTTGCAGGTTTGACATGCGCTGGCTTGAGAACACCGGTCTTGACTCCTTGAGTGCTTTGGGAGTCTTAGATGTACCTACAGTGCTGATCAATGCGGATCCACCAGAGTGGGTGAACCTGCAAAGCCTTTTTTGGCTGTAGTTGGTCGGGCTATGGGGTGAATGGTTATAACCCTTATCGTTTCATGCCGGAACGCGTGGCCGAAGCAACTGAACATCCAGCTGAGTCCATTCCTTGGAGATCCGGTACGCAGATTGACAAGAAGATGCTTCAACACGGTCGCATCAGACAGCTCACCCAAAGACTTGCCACGGTCGTTTTCCACCAAGCGCCGTTCGGTTGTTCCTTTTCGAAAAGCTGGTCGTGGATCAAAAGTTTGGAAAACCAGCTTTTGACCATTAATTAGAGGATGCTTGTGATGTCTTCGGGAACCTTAGGGGGGTGGAGGGCCCTTTGATTTGCATCCTTTCCACATGTTTCTACCTATAGCCCACCATTTTTGCTCGAGATGCCTCGATTCTGCTCATGCCGAGCGACTGCCTCATTTGGAGTGCGACCTGGGGCACAGCACTGGTGTGGGGGTTGGCAGAACAGCTGCCGTGCTGGGAGGGTGACCATGTAGCGCCATGGGCCTGTTGCCCGATGATGCTTGGCCCAAGCTTGGCACCACGATCCTGTTTTCTCCTTGTTTGGCACCCTGCGCCATCATGCTAGCAAATCATGCGACTTTTCATCTATGATGTCAGTGTCCTGCACCATGCATGCAGCAAGATACAGAGAGGCAGTTCGAGATAAGTTAGGATACAGATGGATACAGTAAGTTAGCCTGGAGAAGCCGGAGGAATTGTATGCAATCAATCTATATATATATATATAACAGGATCTGAAGTTGAAGAAGGAATTCCCTATACCGTATACCATCCAAACACTCTCCATGTATGGAATTAGCTTAGTTTTACCAATTGATTGGTTGGGCAGCTTGAGCCAAGGAACGATGATACTCATTCCTGCTTCTCCCATGGCTTTACTCATGCGCAGTGTTGCCATGCAGAAGGAGCTGGCTTGAGTGGTTGCGGCTGCAAGTCTCTCTATTTGCTCCTTGGTCTTCTACTTACACGCCGTACCTTTCGAGCAGCCCCCACAAAATCATTTTGTCACTTTGTACTGGCTGGAAGGTTGGACATAGACATACCCAGTCAGTGGATTCCCCACTATAAACCTTTTGGGGGGGAGTGGCTTCCCCACTAAACAAGAACAGCTAGACAAAGGTTAACCTCTATTTTCCAGGGAAACTGAAAGAGTCAGTCTATATAGTATGTCTATATCATATATAGACAGCTTTTCAACGAGTTTTGATTCTTTGAGTGGACAGTGACATGTTTATCCTCGTTTGGTTCGAAGGTTCCTGTGACTCCTCATTGGGCCGCCATGATCCACTAGGCTAGGGCAGGGGTGTCATGACCCTCACAACCTACGACGGTTCCTGAAATAATCATGAACGTGGAAAACCACCTGCTTCGTATTCGGAACACAGTCATCCAAGAACCCATGTTCCATGATTGTTTCAGTCATCATACATCTAGATAACAAAGCCATGACCATGATCCTTCACCACCATCCTTGAGCTCATTCATCGATTTGTTGTCAACCAGAATCACGGACGTCCGTCGCAGTTGATGGAGCTCCGGAAATCGACTCGGCCCTGGCCGAGATCGCCAACCCGCTCTCCGCCGGACCGGGATCTTCACCTCTCAGCCGCCGCCGAGGCGAGAGGTGGCGACGTTCCTGTCCGAACGGCCCAGAGAGGAGGCGATCGCCGCGAAGGAGGTGCGCCGCTTCCGCTGGCGCTTTCACCCCGCGGAGTGTAGCACCGAGCGCTGCTCGGGCCAAACTTTCTGCGGGTGGATGGCGAAGTCGGAAGGGTCTGAGCACATCGGGTCAGAACATGTCTAGAAGTATGCCAAGAGGGCGGTGGAATTGGAACAACAGATGTTTTTGAGACCAGTTGTTGTTGCTGTCCTGGAAGGAGATTGACACGGATGAGAAAACATTCAGTTCCTGATGTGATTTGTAGATTTTCTGGGCTTTGACCCACAGTCCGTGCAGCACTCTTTTTGGGGATTGCTTTCGTTTCCTCACTAAAGTCGTCTAACATCCAACATGTACTTTCCAGGAGCACGTCACACACTCCATAGCCACTGGCAGGGTCTTCCTCAGGGTCTTCCTGCTGAGTCTCTTTAGGCTTGTGGATTGCTCTTCGAAGCGCCTCCCGCCAAGCGGATCAGTGCTCTGACTGGGTGGCTGGGGCTTCAAGGAAGTGGTCAAACACTGAGCTCCAAATACCTTCTAAGGTCCTTAGAGTCCTTAGACCATTTGATACCCAAACCCTACCCCAAACACCTTCTCAGGATGTACTTAAAGCCCGTGGGGTCCAAAACTGGGGATCCGTGCAGTTCTCGTGCACTCCCCTGGAACCCGGAACCCGCAGCCCTGCTTCACCACTGGAAATGATTGGAGGGGGAGTCTTGCACTACACTCCGACGAACACATGGAAGTGGAAGAGAAGCCCTGGGGCCCTGTTAAGTCGTCTTCCATGTGAGTGAGTCTCAGAGTGTCCGTCCTTCCCGGAGTGGACGTCTTGAAGCCCTGGTGCGGGAAGACCTCGTCCGTCGTCCTGGCGAAAGGAGAAACTGCACTTCATCGTTCTTTGTGGACTACAAGCGAAGTGGTGGCAGAGCGATGAGCTGCCTCATGGACGACAAGTGGGAGCGCCTTGGAGAATTGAGGTATCGATGGCATTTTGGACACTGAAGCAACACCATCATACTAGGTATCCATCACCAAGATCATAGTTCCGATGGCCTCAAGCAGCAAAGAGAAGTGGCACAATGGCAGGTTACTGTGGGTGTCCAAAGTATGGAAGGGCGACTGGCATGGGTGCTCGTTTGGGCTTGCCAGTGTGCTTTAAAATCTTTAAAGAACGCAGAGGTTAATTTGGTTATTGACACCTTTCCTGTCTGCCTGGCACAGCGCCGCAATGAGAGCCCTCAGTTGCAGACCCTGCATGGGCCATCCAGGATGGAGGCTCCAAAAGAGCTCTTGGCCAAAATCCAGGAAAGATGGTCTGAGTCCATTTCCCACGTCTCAGTGAATCTCTAAAACACCTTCCGGCCTCCTGCTGGCTCATGGTTGGCCTCATACGTTTGCCCATTCAGTGAGAATTGGACCAAAGCCTTTTCCTCCAAGAAAGTGTGTCGCCGCAGCAAAATGGCACCGAAATTGATCGATCCTGCTCGATCATTTGGGTTAAAAAACGATTTGGGCAGTCAGTTTGGTTCTCAGTGCAAACTGACATAAGATGAATGAATATATATAGTGAATCATGTTTCTTTTGTAAAACATCTATTTTGAACATGATGAGTTCTAGGCCGATCCCTGTAGCAGGTCGATCACTTCTGGGATTTGATCCTCAGCACTGCGGTGAAGTTGCTCTCCGCGCCACGGTGCGCGCAGCTGTTGACGCCACAGGAGGCCTATGAGAACTTCCAGCGCTTCGATGCTCGGTTTTGCACGTGGTGAGAACTTGTGAAACGGCCCTTCAAAAACAGTGAGGCGGTGAGGAGCAAGCTGTTCACTTACTTATGGGCTCCTGGCCCATATACTTTCAGGTGGTTTCAACCCCCCCCAAAACCACCCACCCCAACCGCCGCAAGGAAACGGAGGATGGCCAGGAGGTCTGGGGATAGGGTTTGGCCAAGAAGATATCAAAGACGTCAAGTTCAGGGAGATTTATGAGTTGTCTTCTTCCAGGATCCTCCAAGGGGTGCCCTGTCTGGAAGCCTATAGGTAGTGTGGGGTAGTCCATTGGACACCCCTTGGAGGGTCCAGGTTGTTTACTTTGTTTATTCCCTTCTTAACTTCACAGCCATGTATTTTCATGTATTTTTGCGTCATGAGTTTCAGGGCCTTCTAGAAAGCTGAGCTTTTTGCTGGTAGCTTTGTCAGATACACTAATTGAGATGGAATGGTGAGAGGCTCCCAAGACCCGCAATGGAGAAAACACATGAACACCTAGTGTGGCTGGCTTCCATTCAAAAAAAAAACTCCAAATGCATCTTGGCTGTGTTCCATTCCAACTCCCCAGACAACCTTGATACACCATTGCTCGAGGACTCCTACTACACTTCGAGCACTTCCTTCCGTCACATCGCAGACTTCACTTGGCACCGCGCCCTGCCAGCTTCACCCTTAGCACCACCAGCGCAGCTGCATGGGCACCGCACAGGACGCCCTGCGCACGCAACTGCTGCGCCCTCTGTGCATTGCTCGGTGCTGGCACGGCTGCCTGAGGACCGTGCGCAGGTGAGGGCAGCTGCAGCTGCTTGGTGCTTTTATAGGGGTAAGGGAGACGCCGTTGATGGGCCTGATTTTCGGTCTGAGACAGTTGGAGAAGATCAAGGTAGAGTTTGACCTCTTCCTCGCTCGAAATTGGTCTCAAAGGATGACCATGCTGATCAGGCCTCCATGGTGATCAAGCTCCTAGAAAGGAAGACTTGACCCCCCGCACCCTTAAAAAACACATTTTGAAGCCCAATCTTCGATGTTTTTTTGTTTGTTTTGATATTTTTGAGATAAGGCTACGCCTCCACAACAACAACGATCTTTAAATAGATAAAAAGATGGATTGAATTCAAGATGCATGTCTTCACATTTTTGGGAATTAACCATTTAACAATGAAAGAATATGAAAGATAGAACACCTCCAGAGCTGCGAGCTTTCGACTCGAGACTCGCCTTCGACTCGAGGCCACCTGGGGCCGGTCCTGCGATCTCTTCGAGGTCTACGTCGCACGTCCCGCGGATCGGGCCCCGGGCGCATGGACCGGGACAGGCAGTTCGCACCGCGGTGACCAGGTGGCTCGGTGTTGCGTATCAGATTTTTATATGTTCCCTGCACGTGTATTAGTGCATGAAGTGGAACAAGTGGATGGATGCCTATGTTAAATCATGTTAAATCATGTTAAATACTCTAACCTGGGTAATTTGTATGTTTTTCCTCCCTGGACAGCAAATCCAAGGTGGTGAACCTGGCCATGGAGTATCCAGTGATGAAGGTGAGGACGATGGGACTCGATGGGTTTTGAGGGGAGCGATGATGGCGGGGTGGAAGGTTCTCTATAGACCACTTTCTGGCTGCTGGCAGGCGAAACGTTCATTGAATTGACTCCATAGCATATTTGGGAGGATGATTGGAACCACAACCCAGACAAGAGATGACTTGAGATGCGGAATTGGGGTTGGTATGGCATACAATTGTGTGCAGCATGTAGATAATAATTGACTCACTAGAAATGACGCAGATATCGAATTATAAATTAAGTGTTTGTAGCTTACATTTTCCCAGGTTTTCTTTGATTTTTGTAGAGATGGTGGTGATCTGGCATGTAGCTTTGGAATCACCATTTCCCTTCAACCATGTTTGAAATGTCCTTCCTCCGATCAAGACCTCGACACCTCTAGTGCTCCAGCTGGTGCCCATCCACACGGTGCCCAAGGTGCATCCAGATCAACGGGGAGGCTCCAAGCTCTCACCATCGATGCAGTCGCGGAGGTTTCAAACCACCAATCTCATCCGTACCTTGACCCGATTTGCAATCATTGAGCGCAGGTGCCGCAGGTGAGTTTATTCCTCAAGGGAGTTTGGTCAGCGACAGTCCGTGGGGCAGTTTGTCTCATCCCTAGAATCCTTAGAGTAGCTTTTCCAGGCTAGACTTGAGATGTAGGAAGAACTGAGGTCTGAAAGGTATAGTGATTTGGCTATGGGAGCCCTCGAAGCCATCGTGGCCGATCATCCAATTCACTGGATCTTGTCACCCATGTCATCCCATTCATTGTCATCCATATTCATCCATTCATCCCATAATCCCATCCCATCCATCGTCATCCATATTCATCTCATCCGTCCCAACACCCATTTTCACCTGGCTGATGTGGCACTTGTGTTAGGTAAAACCTTGGCGATGTGGCACTTCGTCGGCAGCCGCTCGACCGAAGAAAACGGCCGCTTCGCCGACTTCGTGTGCCGCCTGGATCCGGACACGCTGTTCCTGGCCGAGCGCTTTCGGCGTTTCGTGCAGCAGCAGGGCCTGGACCGAGAGAGCAGCTCGGAGGTAGAGGAGGATTTGGTGGATGATTTGGGAGCTGTGTGTTCTGAAATTTTCTGAAGTGGGACAACTGAAAGACTTTAACATTTAACTCATTTTAACTCCACCATTTTATGGGTCTATATAACCGTTTAAAGAAGGCCAGAAAGGTCCCAGAAACCATGGTTTGTTATGTGTGTTTCTTGTGTGTTCTCGGTCGTGTTGTATTCCAAGCAATTCTTCTTTCCCTCGCAGAGCGATTTGGTTGAGACACTGGACGGACGCCTTTTGGAGGGTTATGCAGACGGTTGATATTTCAATCCCCATAATTATCGAATAGTAAAACCATTTCTGGCGATGGACCCAGTCCCCAAAAATTGGTTTTCTTGGTGTTGCTGGGAGAATCGACGGTGCTCGTCCTGTACCGCACTTTTCTCCAGGCATGGTCTATTTCGGACAAGTGCACCACTTCATGAGAGGAGCACGTGGGACCGGGACATGGGGAGCTCCGAGTTTGGTGGTCATAGGGAGACCTGACCTGAGGGCATGATTTCAGATCCAAGAGTTCCTTCCACCAACAAACTCAGGATCTTTTGTTTGGGCGGTAGTGCTATATTGTATTATCGGTTATAATTGTAGTGATTTGTGTTTCTTCAATAGGCACTCGAGATTACACAATGGCCACATTTGGATCATTTTGCGGTTTTAGTTGAGGAATGACTCAAAGCTCATTTGTGACTGAGTTCAGGACCAAGCGTGGACGTAGGTGTCTCTTGGAATGTTAAGCTTGTCGCCCGAAAGCCGCTTTACAACACCTGGGTAGGTACAGAATTCTGTCCATTAAACATAAATCCAGTGTGCTGCTCTCGGAGAGGGCGAGAGAAAGAAAGAGAGAGAGAGAGAGAGCGCGCGCGCTAGATGTTTGGACAGGACTTGTGGGCTACTTTCCAGATGGTGGTGCTGGCATTTGCATCTCAGCCGTTGGATTCGGATAGACACTGTCCCGTTTTGAGTCACGAACGGAATGAAAATGGTCAAGACCTTTGGGGTTTGAGTAATCCCCGTTCCCAACAGTCCAACATGTATTTCAGAACTGGAGCCCCATAAGCAACGACGATTGGAATCATGATGAATCATGCGATGTTAGAGAGGTCAAGGCTTGCCAAGGCCCCAGGTCATGACTTCAGGTCAGTTTCTCTAAGGCTTGCCAGCGCGAGCTTTGGAGGCCTTTACGTACTTGTTGGGCTTCATTGTGCATGCTGCTTTGGCCGAGCAACAGGCTGCATCATCCGGTCATCAAGGAACTCAGTGCAACTGTAGCCAGAGAGCCACAAAACAAACAAAAAGTTTTTTTGAGTCTGAAGGGCTTGAAGGGCAATTGAATCCACTAACATTAGCACCAACTAGTTTTCAAGAGATCACTTAGCAGACTTGCCCGCACCCTTTGGGGCGTGGCAAATGGGGGGGAAAGCTTTTTCCGAAATCACCGGAGCAGCCGAGGTTTATTCCGGTGGAAACCGATCGAAAGATTTACCCTCAAGCTGTCAGATGCTTCCGGGTCATTTGGACGATGTGGTCACCGGCCTTTGTTTTCAGAAACTGAGCCTTGGCGGCCCGCATGGCGTGTTAGACCGTGACTGGCGTGCAAGACATCGCGAGACTGGCGGCATGTGAAGAATTGATTCACCACACCTATAGCCAGAGGGGGATCTTCAACACCTTTTGCTGTTGATGCAATGAGCTGCATGGCATTGAGACGAACTGGCTCCAAACCAACTGGCTCCAAAGTCATGTCGCTCCGCGCGCGTTGTGACGACGTGCAGCCCTCAGGGCTGCCAAGCAGCTCACCAGGGAAGCTCCCATGGCTTCCCATGGCATGTTGGATGGGCACTTGGAGTGAGAACATCTCCTGGAAGAGCCTTTGTGTGTAGCAGCACAAGATGAAAGAATTAAGTATAGTTACAGTCACTCGGAGAAGGAGAATGGATTTTCATTCCCCAACGGCCAAGACCCTCCCAACTCGCCAACTCGTCGAGCCAACTCGAGTGGTCGAGGAATCTTCTTCCACACCCCGCGTTGGTGACGCCACTGGGGCAAAACCTCTTCAACAGCGATGTCTTACCACGCGATGCGCGCAGCACCTTGGGCCGCGCCGCTTGGCGGATTCGCGCGACGCTGCAACGGCCGGGGGGCTGTCCAACGTTTGGCCACACCGCTGGCGCACCGGCGAAACCCGACCCGGTCAAAGGGGAACTCCGTGGAACATCCGCTTGGCAACCTCTAGTGATGAGCTCTTTTGACCCTGTATAAGTGGTGGATCATGACTATTCAGTGCGGTCAAATCAGTCCAAGACTAGATACTCCGGCCCCTCCGGCCCGCCCGGCTCGCCCCTAAGCCAATTGGCTAAACTCTAGAGAAAGACTAGTGACTATAGATACTCCGGGCATAAAGAAATTCGGACTTTGGGTCCTGGATGGTCCTGCTTCCTTCATGCAACGCAGCTCTCACCGGTTCGCCACCCGAGGTTGAGGACTGGTCGCGAGCACGGCGGATGCATCATCTTTTCCAGTGTCTCTCCAGGTGTGTGGAATGCAACTGCCAGAGCCTGGATCCCAAGTCTCCCTGGCATTGCTTAAGAGCTTTTGGAAGGAAGAAGGCGACTGCACCACAGCAAGATGGACAGAAAAGGAGAGTAACCCAATACAAAACAGCCAGCTGGTGCAGGACGTCTTCAATTTGTGTTCCTTTAAGAGGTATATAATATGTTCTTGGAGCCACCAAAAGAGCCCTTAGAGGCGCCTGTCTTGGGCTTAGTCTGTTTTTTGGAGGTTGTTGAATGTTTTTGAGTTGTTGTTTGTCCACTTTGAAGCCTGTTTGCATCTTGCACCTTTTTGGTTGCCTCCATCAAGCGATATGGGGCATGCAGCTGTGCACTTCATGTATTCTGTAACAAGATATATCTATATCAAGGCCCTTGACCAGCCGAGGTATTGGGTTGACGAGCCTTGACTGACCCGGTCGACGCGGCAGAAGTTGAAAGACCCGGCTCCGATCGACCGGTCGACGTCCTTTTCGGGTGGACCGGTAACTCCGACCTCGATCTCTTTGGATATTTTTGGATCAAAAAGCCGGATCCTCCCGCAAGGCCTGTTTCGAATTTGGTGGAACATCTCTCGGACTATGTTGATATGTTGTGATGGTAACCATTTGCCAGCTGTCAGATGGTCACAAATTGGAGGGTTCATGAGAAAACGTGGTTCATGGCGATGATGAACCATGACGGGCATTGCGTTGGTTTTGCTGGATCCTACCCATCGAGGTTCCTGGATGTTGCTAGCAGACTTCATGTTCTTATCCAGAATCATTGGACCGAAAACTGATGGACTGGCGCTGATAAACTGGCGCACTGGGACATCTGGGAGCCAAGAGGATCCCAAGAGGTGTGGACCCTGAAATTGGCCACCCTCCCTGAAGAATGTTCCAGCAAGTTGGAGACGTCGTACTGGCACACTGCACTCAGGAGAAGCTGGCCATTTCTTTCCATGGCAGCTTGGAGCAGAGAAGAACATGCTGGAATTGCGCACATGCAGGAAGTAAGCCACCTATGGCTCATGTTTTTGACAGCGCTTGTCGGGCAGTGGAACTTCCAACTGCCCTCTCCAAGACACACAAACCTCATAGTGGAGTTTGATTGGGTGCCAAATATCGTTATGTTCGAGGGAAAGTGCTGCCTGGTTTGCACCGTGAACCTGTGGCTTTCTGTTGCCAAACTGACTTTCTCACTTGATTAGGTTCATGTGTCACTTGCAGTGTCCTTTCTGTATAGTCTGGAACTCATCACTTCAGGTGGACCTAGAAATGCCTTGAAATCAGCAGCAGTGTAGTCCTCAAGCTTCCTCTCAGGCTACAAGAATGCCTCTCAGATGCGCTTGGCCTATCGCTACCTGACCCGGCAGAAGAAAAGCTGCTGCGTTCACGAGTGGAACGGACAAGGAACTGGCGAGGACCACTGCCATAGCGCCAAAGATGTGATTAGATATAAGTTAATCTATATACCTGGGACGTGCAATTGAGGCCATCCTCCAGGTGCTTTTATGATGTTGGGGGGTGGTTCAGGGTTGGGGGGGCCCAACCACCTTCTGAGGATATGGTTGGAGCCCTAGGGACCTTAAGCTAATTAGAGTAAAATGTTGTAAAGCCAGTTTCACTTTCGGATGCCACAACTTCCCCCATGAGATCGATTAAAAACCACGTGGCGCGCCTTGAGAGGGGAAACAACACATCCCCATGAAATGGATCCAATCAAGCTGGTGCCACAACGACAAGGCCCTTGGGACATGGAACGGAGGGAGGTCATCCCCTGTATGAGGGAATAGTAATCGTCGACCTCACAGGGGCTGACGCTTCATCGCCTGGGTCGCAAAGACGGATGGTCGCACAGGCCAGCGAAGCGGCTCCCTACTACACCGGTAGCTGTGTGGCAGAGGTGCGGTTTTGTATTCCGCGCGGAGTTGGAGACGGTGATGAAGTTGGCCAACGTGTCGTCGACTGTCAGACGGTCAGATGTCTTAAAAGGCAGAAACACCCGACATGTTTGGCTTGCATCTTCTAGGTTTCAACTTCCTGGTTTCTTTTCCCTTCCATTTTAGTGGATTTCTTCAGCATGATTGCCACATCACCCATCGCCTATGCCTGAGGGCAGTCCCGTTCACGAAACAATTCTCAATGACTTGGACCGTTTCCTTACAGAGTCACGGACGGCATGTCACGTCACACCCCATGCCATATATTGGGGTTTGACCAAAGTGAATGCGGAAGTGACGGCCGACTTGGCTTTAAAAAAGGGACGAGCGGCTCTCCATCGTCCCACGTCGCATCTACCCTACCACCACCGCGCGCGGTCGTTCGTGCGCGCTTACGACCGCGCGGCAGGCATGTCCGGAGAACTCGGAAGGCTTGGACTTGGGCAGCGGATGCAGCTGCAAAGCCGGCTACAGCGGCACCATCTCCCCGACCCAGGCGACGTGAAGATGGTATGGGGGGGGGGGGGCCCGGGGGGGGCGGGTGGCAAGAGATGTAAGATGGTCTTGACCTGAAGAAGGACCCAACAAACACACAAAAAAAGGGGTAGTAACCTCTACGTCTTGTGGCACCAGGGCAACGACCAGGCACCACGCGGTGCGACCGGTCCTGCACGAACCGCAAAAAACGGGTGGACGACCGGGACCGGTCAGATACAGTACGTTGCAGAATTGGCCAAACCCCCCCCCTCAAGAGGATGTTTATACCCCCAAGGCCCCAAGAGGAATACCCCCCAAGAATAGCTGGCTATATATGGTGTTCCATATAAACCACCTAACTGGGGGAGATTCTTGTGCCATCGAACCTCTGAAGCCACTGAAGAGCTGTCAGGTACCGCCCTTCTACTGCGGCAAGTGCGAGCTGGTGCCATGCCCGGAGTTTTCCACGGGACCCGATGTGGCCACCGGCTGTGATTGCAAGGCAGGGGTCTCAGATAGATGGTGTGGGTACCCGTGCATTTGTGGAGTATGTCCCAGAGCCAGCATCTCAAAATATGGCACATATTCCATGCATGGATTCTTTGGCGGTCGTTGTGCTTATTGTGGGATTGGACATTTGTGTTGGAGTGAGCAGGTATTGTTGGGATTTGTTGCTGCTTTGATTTGTCCTTCAATACTGTACTACATAGATTGTAGATGCACAATTACAACGTATCAGTGGATTCAGAGTAGATGGCACTGGCACCCCGGCACCCCTACATGTCCTTTAGATGGGGGTTAATATAAACCACCTGACTCGGGGGGCCGTTGTGCCATCTACTCTGAACCCACTGTACTGAGGCACTGCTTAGTACCTCACTTACTTCACCCTGGTGCCAGGATGGCATCGGCACGGTCACACCCTCCAACGAGGCACCGTTCTACGTGGCGCGGTGGCATCTCGCATCGGCCCGGGAGGGCCTCCGTGAGTGCACGGCAGGGCCTCCACGACACCTGAGTTGGGAAAAAGAACATGAAAACAGCAGGTGTGAAGACGGAAGCTGATTGATTATATGGTCAGGAATCTGCCTGAAGTAGTTCTGATCAAAACCTTTCAGAACTGATAGGGGCCAACATGGGCCAACCGTGTATATATATAATATATACAGCTGACATTTGATACCGTGCCTTGATCAATCAAGCCGCTCATCAACTGCTTTCCAAACACTGTCGACCGACAGGGGCCAACCCAAAATGTTTTTAGCATTGGGGACGTGAAGCGACCGCCACAGACCCGCGGAATGGACGGTCACCGAACCGGATCAGATCCGCTTTCAAAGCTTGGCGGATCGGCCTATGGGCGAACTGGGTTTCTTGGCGAACTGGAGATGTTCAGATTCGCCAAGCACCAAGGTCAGTACCTGCGGGGCCACCAACTGAGCGAGAGCTCCGACCGATGGTCGAAGGGCCTGTGCTTGGTCGGCATGTGTCGGTGGCTCGGTATGCCATGACAGGTAGTGTAGCTGTGGTATATTGATCGATGCACATGTGCATGCACATCACCAGAAACAATCATAAACCACATAGACCATGCGGCCTTCTGACAGAATACCAGACAATCTCCAACTTGGCAACTTTAATTGTTGGTATTTACTGTAATTACTCCAGCACGATTGATTCCTGCAAGGATTGTCAATCTATGAAGGGGGACCGGCACCCAGTTCTTCGACAACCAACCCTGTTTCTCCTGTACACTCAGGTCGACGGTCAGCATCAACAAGCTGATACATAGGTACGTGGTAGCCTGCTCCCTGAATTTCCTGGATGCCTCCAAAATAGGTGGTTGTTTTTCGTTTGACCCAGAGCCAGATGATCATGAACAGTCATGAAGCATGATTGAACATTATCCAAACTTGGTCAATATCCCAGCCTCAGCCCTGAAGCCTGACAAAGCAGAGTCCATTGGCAGCACCGCTCGTGACTTTCATGTCGCAAAGCATGACGGCAGCGACGAAAAGGGGAGACTGCTTGGGGTCGGGGTATGCAGCCATCATATGCAGCCTATGACATCAGTGACAATCCTTATATGCCATTGGGAGAATACAACTATTGAACTATTGCACATGACTGTAATGATATTATATTTTATTATGCACATCAATATCAATAATATCATGTCAAGTTATAAACATGCCCACATATACAATATCAAGTTAGACATCTCCATGTTTGTTCGGACTCCCAAAATGCCACCAGAAGACCCACCTGCCAGATCCTGCCAGCCTGGATGGTAGACCAAAAGAAATGGGACAAAGTAAAGACTTGACGAGTCCTGCCAGACTTGACACCAGCCCAGATGAGGTGATGGATTAGTTGAGAGAGCCAAGCAAGCCAACCACTGGTGCCTCAAAACAGGAGCTCCACCAAACTCATCCAAAATCCATCAACAGGGAGCAAAACCCAGCACAGACATACTGACATATCATATATATATATAGACACTGATACTTTGTCGTTGTTCCATGAGTCATAACTTAACTAATGACACTTCTACCAGGACCCTCCAACAGGCTGTTTGGAGACCCTAACAGGTGGTTTCTGGGCACCTGTTGTCACCAGGAAGCACCTGTTGGAGGGTGCTGGTATAAGTTGGTTTGCCTGATCAGTTCCATGTTCTTTGGCCACTTTCCCCATCCGCACGATTCACCGTTTGCGCGGCGCCCAAAACTCCGTCCGGCTCCTCGTGTTTTTTTCCGCTCGTTTCGGCTGAGGCTCGGGGCCACCGAGTGGAATCGCCGAGGCCAAAAAAGGGTGAGAGACCGTGGGACCCAAATGACTGACTGGTGCGATTTCGTAAGGAATGAGGGCGTTCGTCGCGTCCGATTGCTCCGTGCGATGCCCGAAATGCTCCGTTCGTCGCGTCCCAAAACTAGGGGCCATTCCCCTCATGCCTTGCGAGTCGCACCGGTGAGTTTGGATTTCGAGCCGTGGCCGGAGTTCAGCGCGGGTTCAGCGCACGGGTTCAGTACGTGCGACTGTACGTGATCCCCAGAGAGTGGCACGGTTTCCGAGACATTTTTAGTGGGGATTTGCTTTTCTGTTTATTTGGGGGTCTGCATTTTACTGTTTTTGGAACTGGATGGATGTAGCGAATGAAATGTGGCACTGGCGAAGATGTTTGATGGCGCGGTTGAAGCAGCGACATCTAAAGGCCATGGAGAGAGAGAGAGAGGTGGGCACAGTATTTTACTATGTTGCATATCATTTGTGCAATTGTGGAAGCAGTATGGCGCTTGGCTGGCCAAAAGAAAATGCTTTTCCTTGTTGTGTCCCTGTTCTTTTCCTCCCGTCCTTTTCATTTTCATGTCCTTTTCCGTTTCCTTTTTCTCTTGATTGTTTTTTCCCAGTTTTTCTGAAAGCGCATGGGGCCGATTATCGTTTGCATACAACGTCGTCCTTCTCGCGCGTCGACACGTCAAGCACATCCCTTGTTTTCGTCTCATATTTCTCCTCCTAGTGTCCTTTTGGTGTTGTTTTTCTCCCCCTGGGCCCCTGGTTTCCTTTTGTTTGTCCCTTGCTGGGATCCTTTTGGGGTGACCTTTCTCCTCCTGGGATCCTTTTCGGGTGACTTTTCTCCTCCTGGGACACCAAAAAGAAACAATAAAAGGAGAAGGTGCTCTTGGGGTCACTTTTCTTCTCCTGGGATCCTTTTGATATAATCTTTTCTCCTTGGGTTTTTTTGGTGTTTTCCCTCTCCTGGGCTCGTTTTGGAGTGTTTCTTTTTCTCCCGGCGTTTCCTTCTGGAGTCCTTGTGGGGTCGCTTGGGAAAAAGACACGAAGAGGACAGGAAGAGGACAGGAGAAGAACACAAAAAGGACAAGAAGAGAACTCAGAAAGAACAGGAAAAGGACAATGAGAGAAGTAGGACAATGACAGAAAAAAGGAGAGAAAGAT